GGGGAAAGAACCCATCCTAGCTACGTGCGTGACCGCTGAAGAACTATGACGTATCTGGATCATCAGTTTGGCATCCAACTGTGCCACATCCTCTTCTTGTATAAGAATAGGAAATGTGTCAGGAAATCCAAACAAACTTTCAGTGTGTGACTGGTAAAGTGAGAGAGCCCAAGCATCACGGTTGCTACATAGTTATAAATAATATCTTCACCACTTTACAAGCAATAAATATGATAGATTTGTTTTTGCTGCATTTCTGCAACTAAAGTCTACACTTGTCAGATAACAATATTTGCAAACAAAAAACAAAAATTGAAGAGGCAACATAAGCAGTGACATCCACCAACCGTTCATGGATTATCATTCTCCTAAAAGGAAACCCATGCAGTCATCTGGCAGCCTTATCGCTATTTTTTTTTTCCTGTTTCCCACTTTTCTTAATGAACCTTTCCACTCACATAATCTCTTTGGAGCTTCTCTGTTCATTCTTGGTCAATCCCTATTTTCACATATTTCCAAAATCTCCAATGTCCACCTTTGAGTTTTTCTTCCTTACCCTGGTCTAGGCCTCCAAGAAATTTGCATTAGGTCTGCTTTAGGCATTTCTACACAATAGTGTTAATGTATACAAACTGCTTGTCATATGGACCTGCCCTTTGTATAACCTTGGAATCCCTTTGGTATGTCAGTGATCCACAGGAACATGCGATACTAGTATTTAAGTGTTCTATACCACACAGTGTAGCATCAGAAATATAACTTTGTTAGGTTTGTAGATACATGTTTCCCTTCTGAGGTTTTTGGTTCATGTTTGCTTGTTCAGTAGCACTCTGCTTCTTCTTCAGATGTTTGGAAATCCAAAGCAGAGAAGGGAGATAAATGTGTTCACTCCATTCTGGTCATTCTCAATCTCTTTTAATTGATAGTGAAAGTCTACAGTGAAGCTGTCACCACTCTAGTGCCACCACTGGCTGCATTTCATCACAACCATCTCCCTTCCTCAGAAGTGTATGCCTCTAAAGTACCATGTGTAGCTGCTGCAAATTAAATCAGCTGGCCAATGCAGCATTTTGTTTAACAAATGTGCATTAGTGCTGCTTGTTTGGCAGCCACCTGGAAGTCCTAGGGCAGTGTTGTCCAAACTTGGCCACTTTAAGATGAGTGGACTTCAACTCCCAGAATTCCCCAGCCAGCA